GTGTGTGTGTGTGTAGTTGTTGTACTAGCCTAGTGACAACCAGTTTGAATGGTACAGAGAACCGCCAAGGTGATGCATTAAACACATGGGTAACACTTAGGTATCTTTAGTGAGGAAACGTTTCGCCACACAGTGGCTTCATCAGTCCATATAAAGTTTATACACTATATAAGCCACTTCTTCGCACATATGTTGTATTCTTTTTAAAATTGATGGACTGATTACATCAACTCGAGGCTGAGGGACTGATTACCTCAAACTCCTCCTGTTCTTCACGATTCTCCTTTGTATGGACTGATGAAGCCACTGTGTGGCGAAACGTTTCCTCATTAAAGATACCCAAGTGCTGCACATGCGTCTAATTCATCAACTTGTCGGTTCTCTGAACCATTCATCTACGAACCATTGGTCTACATTTCTTGGGTACCATTGAAAAGGGGTTGGGCAATTTTTTTAGTGGGTTTAGGTTTCAGAAGAACCTGCCTAGTATGGGTCAATGGGCCTGCTGCAGTGTTCATCCATTATGTTGTTAAGGAGTTTGAAGTAAGAAGTCACTCAACCTGGAGTCGATGTGTTCAGTCCATCTGTCTAGGAGTGAACACATCGACTCTAAGCTAAGAGACTGATTACTTCACACGTCTCAGCTTCCAAAGTTCATCTCTGTACAGGACTGAGAAAACCAATTGTTGGCGAAACGTTTCCCCCATAAAGATTCCTAAATGTTGCAAAAGTGTGTAATTCTTCAACCTGCCAGTTTAGTTTTTCATCTACGTCATACAGGAGAGGGAAAGAAAAGGAAAGTATAGAGGAGGGAAGGGGGCAATGAATTTAAAAGAGGGGGCACAGGATATGTAAGAGTTATAAAGGGAAACAGTGAGGACAAAATACGCAAAAGGAATATAATAAGAAAGGAGGAATAAAGTAAGTGCAGGAGGGATAAAGGAAAACCATGAAGGATACGGAAAAACAATTAGAAGAAGAAAAATAAGGAGGGAGGTAGAAGGAAAATGCCTAGTGAGGTCAAAAAAGACGGGCGCAACACAGGTTAAGGAAAATAGGAAATTCTAGTGAGGATAGGGGGAGAGGGTGAAGGAGAGCTCAGTGGACAAGGAAGAGGGAGAAGACGAGTGAGGGGTGAGAGAGAGGTGGGGGATGGTGGTGGGGAGGATGAAGGGGGAGAGAGGACTCACACCAATTAAAGTTCTATCCTTCGTTAGTGGGAGTTTTGTTGTAGTTGTGTGGGCGGTCTGGCTGGTAATTGCTGCTCTTCTCCCAAATATTTGGCCCACTCTCCTCGCCAGAGAGAGAGAGAGAGAGAGAGAGGAGGGGGGGGGAGAGTCGTACAGTAGAGGTAAATAAAAGTGTTAAAAAAATGGGAGTTATGTACAATACAAACTCGTTCTTTCACGTCCTTAACATCTACGAGGAAGTTCTGTATTTTAATGTACATCAAACAAAGTTACGCACAACACTGTATTTATAGTGGCATACAGCAAACATCACTTAAGTTGCATCACGAAGCCACTTACGAGTAAGTGGCTCACGAGTCACGAGTAAGTGGCACCACAAGTCACCAGTAAGTGGCACCACGAGTCACCAGTAAGTGGCACTACGAGTCACCAGTAAGTGGCACTACGAGTCACTAGTAAGTGGCACCACGAGTCACCAGTAAGTGGCACCACGAGTCACCAGTAAGTGGCACTACGAGTCACTAGTAAGTGGCACCACGAGTCACCAGTAAGTGGCACCACGAGTCACCAGTAAGTGGCTTCACGAGTCACGAGTAAGTGGCACCACGAATCACCAGTAAGTGGCACTACGAGTCACTAGTAAGTGGCACCACGAGTCACCAGTAAGTGGCACCACGAGTCACCAGTAAGTGGCGCCACGAGTCACTAGTAAGTGGCACCACGAGTCACCAGTAAGTGGCACCACGAGTCACTAGTAAGTGGCACCACGAGTCACCAGTAAGTGGCACTACGAGTCACTAGTAAGTGGCACCACGAGTCACCAGTAAGTGGCACCACGAGTCACCAGTAAGTGGCTTCACGAGGAGTCACGAGTAAGTGGCACCACGAATCACCAGTAAGTGGCACTACGAGTCACTAGTAAGTGGCACCACGAGTCACCAGTAAGTGGCACCACGAGTCACCAGTAAGTGGCGCCACGAGTCACTAGTAAGTGGCACCACGAGTCACCAGTAAGTGGCACCACGAGTCACCAGTAAGTGGCACCACGAGTCACCAGTAAGTGGCACCACGAGTCACCAGTAAGTGGCACTACGAGTCACTAGTAAGTGGCACCACGAGTCACCAGTAAGTGGCACCACGAGTCACTAGTAAGTGGCACCACGAGTCACCAGTAAGTGGCACCACGAGTCACCAGTAAGTGGCACCACGAGTCACCAGTAAGTGGCACCACGAGTCACCAGTAAGTGGCACTACGAGTCACTAGTAAGTGGCACCACGAGTCGCCAGTAAGTGGCACCACGAGTCACTAGTAAGTGGCACCACGAGTCACCAGTAAGTGGCACCACGAGTCACCAGTAAGTGGCGCCACGAGTCACCAGTAAGTCGCACCACGAGTCACTTAAGCAATGGCGTGACGGAGGCAGCAACAAACCATAGCTACAATAATCTGCTTTATGACTTATGACCTTGTAGTAGTTAAAGGAATTGCAGCTACAGTGACTAATACAGCTTCAACAGTAAGTGTAACAGCAATGACTGATACAGCTATAACAGTTAGTGCAGCGGCAATGACTGATACAGCTATAACAGTTAGTGCAGCGGCAATGACTGATACAGTTACAACGGTAAGTGCAACAGCAGTGACTGATACAGTTACAACAGTAAGTGTAACAACGACTGATACAGCTACAACAGTACCTGTAACAGCAATGAGTAGCTGATACAGCTACAGCAGTACCTGTAACAGCAGTGACTAACTGATACAGCTACAGCAGTACCTGTAACAGCAGTACCTGTAACGACAGTGACTAACTGATACAGCTACTATAGATGATGTGACAACAGTGCAGACCTTGTAATGTTTGTGTCCAGAAGTGTCCTTCCTCTTCCACTGTCGTTCTTCGTTAATTCGTTAACTGCCGCTTTGTTAAGTTCCTTACAAGTTCTGGTAAGTGGTTTGCCACAATAATACGCATATGTATTTATTCTTAATTGACTCGGAAAGTTCGGTAAATCGTGAAATGAAAAACGATCCGGAAATGATGATTCAGTCCTGAAATGAATCTTTTTTGGAAGTCACTCTAATGAATTCCACGGTTTCATTTCCATCAGGATATTCATTAACCTTTCTCTATGTTGGTAGGAGAATGTCTTACTCTATCTGCCTCTTCATTCCCAAATGTCCTTGTGAATGTTATTCTGCATTAATAGCATACATCATTGGAAGCAGACAGCAGTGTGCTCCCTGGCAGCTGTGCTTCACTCACCAGGTGCCCCTCAACGCTGGTACAATAATAAATAATCAGAGCTGCTTAACCTTATTATAAGATAATTATTATTAGAATGATTATTAGAAGAAAGAAGAGAGAATTAAGATGAAGAATAGGAAGTAAAAGAAAAAATAGAGTACTCATGATAATGCGGTGGTTACATACGCAGGAAGGTATATGATTCTTTAGTGTACTGTATATATACCGGAAGATTAATCAGTGTTATAGGGCCTGTAGTACCTTTGGCTGCTGATAGACTGGTCACATGAAGTCTTAATTACCTTCACGTAGTCAGTAGGCTTTTAACCAAATTAACTAAACCATAACAATGCATTAATCTCTACTGAGTCTTTATATTTTAATTTTCATAACAAGAATTTTTTTTAACGGACGAAGAATTTAAGGAAACAGATTTCATGCAACTCAAAATCATTCTTTAATTTTGGGGGCTGATTTGCTCTTTGAATTAATTTGATTTAATTGTGCGAAAAAAATCAGTTGGAATTCTCATTAACGTAACATAATATTTTATTAATTTTTAATATGTCTTGAAAGTTTTCAAAAAAATTAAGGTTTTATTTTTTTTTATTTTGCCTAATATTATTCTGAAGAGGCTATATTATTTTAAGTTCGTTCGTCCACGTTACGTGAAAATATGTTTTTTCTTTACGTTTATGTCCGAGGTAGAAGAGGTTGGCAGTGTGGAAGACACGGATGAGAGATTGTAGAGAGAGAGAAGTGAAGGGGGAGAGAAAAGAGAAGGGAAGGAAAAATACAGGCAGAGAAGCTAAATAGGGAAGGGAAAACAGCATGTGGAAGAGATGAAAAGGAGGAGCAGATAGAAGAAAAGAAGGATGGGGAAAGTGGAAAGAAGATAAACAGGTGTGAGAAAGAAAGGAGAGAGAAGAAAGGGGGAGATAGAAGAAAGAGGGGCAGATTAAGGAGGAAACAGAGAGTGAAGGGGGGCCTTTTTTAAGTTTGTTCGAAAAACGTGTTTGTGTTATGAGGTATATACTAGGATAGGAGATCCACCCATTATAACAACATTAGATTCTCAATATTATTCCCAGTTGGCTCAGTATAATATGTTTTAGTTCACGTTTAGAAGACTAACACGTTTCCCTCTGTTCTCACGTTTTATTGTGTCCTCAGCCTGCCATAAACACCGCTGGCAGAGATATTCCTTCTTATTGGCTCCTGGGAGAACGACTTCCCGTCATTTCAACCGTGGCTCTCCATCAACCAATAATAAAACCTCTTCATAAAGATATCCGATGTGATTGGCTCTTAAGCGAATTTCCTTCTCTTGTAGAGAGGAAAAAAAAATAATACGTCCAAACTTGCTGAGTTCTCTTTCTTCTTGGTGATATTCAGAGCACTTACTCCCTTGATGTTAGTGGAGGATTCTTGATATAAAGCGCTGCTCTTTCCCTTCCTTGAGTCAAACTTGATTTCCTCCAATTCCCTAGGCGCTGTATGTTCATCACGGATTTAGCGCTTCCACGTGAATATAATAATGGACTTTGTCTCCTGTTTGCAGTGATCAACGGGGAGAAGGCCACGTTCAACACTCCCATCTTCTCCCAGAAGAGAGAAAGGACCTTGGACATGCTTATTAAGGACTTGTATCAAGAACACATCAATGATAACAGAGGGGTAAGTATGTCCTCTGATAACTTTGTACCAGAGGAACATCAGTGATACAGAGGAGTATGTACTCTGATAACTGTGTACAAGAGGAACATCAGTGATAACAGAAGGGTATGTACTCTGATAACTTTGTACCAGAAGAACATGAACTATAAGAGCATTAAAAATGTTCAATGATAACGTTATATTACTTTGTACTTCAAAACGTTTCGTTAAAAATACACATATATTTAATTATAATTTTCTATATTATAAATTTATATCAATTCACCTTAGCATAAGCGCAACAAAATTTGGAACTACAACATTACATTTATTTTTAATATGCCTTGAAACCATATTTGTGCTAATAACATTTGAAAGAATTGCAAACACTATATTTTCCAACATATATGGCACACTCAAGTTTTGGCAGGCATTTTCTGGAAAAAAAAATGCAGTACTTGTTTCAAAATTGATAGTGAACCAATGGCTAGCTGGTTTTAAGCACAATGTATCAGTACGAAGTGGGACCTTGCACAGCTGTTTACATTCGGCAACTTTACAATTATTTACAACTGCTGTAGCTGTTTAACTTATTACGTACCAGTAATATGTGAATTATAACTTATCGTAGTTACTAATCACTCTAAAGTAATCTAGGATACAGTTTTGTAGGAAGGAGGGGTGGATGCTTGGAGTTCACCGGTACCGCAGCACTGAAACCATCACCTGTCAGTAACTCACAGCCTACCCTTGTTTCTCATCTTGAGTACATCAGGAGCTGACTGATTTTGTGAGTTTTTTTTTTTTCGGGGAAAGCGCGTGTCTTTCTTGGTGCGGCAAAATATGGTAATTTTTTTAATGTTTATTTTCGAAAATCAGAACAAGTTAGCAGCTTTACTGACTAATGACTTTGCATTTAGCATAGTGGATATTAGTGAATGGGAGAAGTAATCACATTATAGATGTCATGCGTGGTCAATATATTGATAGGAAGGGATTTTCGAGCAAGGATCCACAAGAGGATGTTTGGATTCCGCAAGATCTTACCTCAGAGGCTGGCAGGCTAGGCGATATTTTATGATTTTTGTTTCGTTAGGAAGAAGTTTAGTCTAAGGGACTTTGAGCTGCGCTTACAATGTTTTTAAGTGAGTGATGAGATATCCAAGATTTAGAACTGTCTAAAGAGAACGGAAAACTGAACATGTGATATATTAATTACACTTGTAAATAGTCACAGCAAGAAACAGCGGCATTTGGTTCAGGAGAGTTAATGATCTACATTGCCCTACAGTGGTATACAATGACTTACAATGATCTAAAATATCTCAGTGGCATACAATAACATGCAACAGCTGTAGATCTACTCACTAAAACACAGAAGAGAGGTGATACTAACGTATCAGCTACAATGTTAAAAACAATTACATGACCTGAACACACAACCAAAATTCGGAAAGACCAGTACTACTACAGGACTCGTAGCACAAACATGCATGCGTAATTTATTACGGGTGTAATACACACGTTATGGCGTGAAATGGAACCAAGTTTAATATTAAAGAAAGGGACAGACACCAGAATTGCCTGCAAGTGGCGATCGTCGGCACTAAGAAAACTCTTGACATCCATCTTAAATGGGAAATTCTAGACATAATAATGGACCAACAGTCTAATTGCTGTTTTATATTACCCATATCATCAGCACCTGACATACCTCACACACACACACACACACACACACACACACACACACACACACACACACACACGATGAGCACACTGAGATCAAACGACAGGTCTGAAGACAATGAAGGAAATTCAAAGTCAGGCGCAGACAAGGGGATGGTAAGCAACAACAGAGACATGCCGTACACGAAGGCCCTATCAGACCCACGTGGGGCCAGGGAAAAGACGATGAGCACACTAAGATCAAGCGACAGGTCCGAAGACAATGAAGGTTTGTTATATGCAGAGATTCTAACAGCCAACTGCAGTAGCAAGGGACAGCTGGCCAGGAAAGACAGTCCACTGAGAATATAAGTTTCAGATATGACAGGGACTGAAGGCAAGAACATGTCAATGGAAGGAAATAAAATGCCTCAGAGGAAGCAGATGGAGACTCAGTGGGAGGAGGAAAGGGCGAGGTCAGTTTTTGTGTACGGGCTCCAAGAAGCCAAGGGGGCCAACTTTGAAGAAATAAAACAGGAGGAGAAAAAAATGATTGAAGGCATCATGAAAACAATAGGGAGGGCAATATGACCCAGGTGACAAATTTTCAGAGAATTGGGTGGTTTGCGAGTGGAAGGATACGGCCTGTCAGAGTAACTTTCAAGGAAGAATCAGTTCGAACCAGGATTCTGCAAGAGAAAGCAAGACTGAGGGACAAAGAGGGGTACCAGAGAGTATACCTCGACCGCGACAGAACACAAGAAGAAAGGACTACACTGAAAGAGAGGGTACAGAGACGCAAGGAGGAACGAGAAGCAATGAAAATGAGCAGGACCCAGACACAGGAGGAAGGGCAAACACACCCCACAGAATCTTCCGCCAAAAGACTCCACCCGCGACATTCCCAACGCAACTGAGCAACCTATACTACAACCCACTCACTGTTCCCTCTGCCACCAACCCCCATATCACAAACCTCACCCCAACAGCTGTCCCTTATGGCATTCTGACCCCACCCCCATCAACACATACCCCACCTACACCACAGCCCCATATAGGCCCCCACCAAGTCTCTCGCTCCCCCAACCCCAATATACTTGCATGACCACAATGATAGAAAAGAAACTAAAGGTTTGGTACACAAACGCGGATGGAATAACGAATAAACATGAGGAGTGGAATGAAAGAATCAGTGAAAAATCCCCAGATATCATAGCAGTCACAGAAACAAAACTCGCTGAGACAATAACAGACACAATCTTCCCAACAGGATATCAGATCCTGAGGAAAGATAGAAGGAGTAGAGGGGGAGGAGGGGTTGCACTGCTCATAAAACACCAATGGGGATTTGAGGAAATGGAAGGCATGGACATGATTGGAGAAAGAGACTACATTGTAGGTACAATTCAGTCCGGAGAACATAAAGTAGTCATTGGAGTGATGTATAACCCCCCACAGAACTGCAGGAGGCCAAGAGAGGAGTACGAAGAAAACAACAGGGTGATGGTGGACACACTGGCTGAGGTGGCAAGAAGAGCTCACTCGAGCAGAGCAAAGTTACTGGTAATGGGCGATTTCAACCACAGGGAGATCGACTGGGAAAACCTGGAGCCACATGGGGGTCCCGAAACATGGAGAGCCAAGATGATGGATGTGGTACTTGAAAACATCTGCATCAACATGTCAGGGACACAACCAGAGAGAGAGGGGAGGATGAGCCAGCAAGACTGGATCTTGTGTTCACCCTGAGCAGTTCAGACATCGAGGACATCACTTACGAGAGGCCCCTTGGAGCTAGCGATCATGTGGTTCTGAGTTTTGACTATATAGTAGAGTTACAAGTGGAGAAGGTAACAGGAACTGAAGGGGACAGGCCAAACTATAAAAGGGGGGACTACACAGGTATGAGAAACTTCCTGCAGGAGGTCAGTGGGACAGAGAAATGGTAGGAAAATCAGTAAAATGAGATGATGGAATATGTGACAACAAAGTGCAAGGAGGCAGAGGAAAGTTTTGTTCCCAAGGGAAACAGAAATAATAGGAAGACCAAAACGAGTCCTTGGTTTACCGAAGGTGTAGGGAGGCGAAAACTAAGTGCAACAGGGAATGGAAAAGGTACAGGAGGCATAGGCCCCAGGAAAACAAGGAGATTAGTAGAAGAGCCTGAAACGAGTATGCGCAGATAAGGAGGGAGGCCCAGCGACAGTATGAAAACGACATAGCATCGAAAGTCAAATCTGACCCGAAACTGCTGTATAGCCACATTAGGAGGAAGACAACAGTCAAGGACCAGGTGATAAGGCTGAGGAAAGAAGGTGGAGAAACTCACAAGAAACGATCAAGAGGTATGTGAGGAGCTCAACACGAGATTTAAGGAAGTATTTACAGTAGAGACAGGAAGGACTCTGGGGGGACAGACCAGATGGGGACACCAACAAGGAATACACCAACAAGTGTTGGACGACATACATACAGATGAGGAGGAGGTGAAGAAAACTGCTAAGGGACATCGATACCTCAAAGGCAATGGGACCGGACAACATCTCTCCATGGGTCCTTAGAGAGGGAGCAGATATGTTGTGCGTACCACTTACCACAATCTTCAACACATCCCTGGAAACTGGGCAACTACCTGAGGTATGGAAGACGGCAAATGTAGTTCCCATTTTCAAAAAAGGAGACAGAAAAGAGGCACTAAACTATAGACCTGTGTCATTGACGTGTATAGTATGGCAAAATTATGGAGGGAAAATTATCAGGAGGAGAGTGGTGGAGCACCTGGAACGGAACAGGAGTATAAATGCCAACCAGCACGGATTCACGGAAGGCAAATCCTGTGTCACAAACCTTCTGGAGTTTTATGATAAATAACAGAAGTAAGACAAGAGAGAGAGGGGTGGGTTGATTGCATCTTCTTGGACTGCAAGAAGGCCTTTGACACAGTTCCTCACAAGAGATTAGTGCAGAAGCTAGAGCATCAGGCGCATATAACAGGAAGGGCACTGCAATGGATCAGAGAATACCTGACAGGGAGGCAACAACGAGTCATGGTACGTAATGATGTATCACAGTGGGCACCTGTGACGAGCGGGGGGGCCCACAGGGGTCGGTCCTAGGACCAGTACTATTTTTGGTATATGTGAACGACATGACGGAAGGGTTAGACTCAGAAGTGTCCCTGTTTGCAGATGATGTGAAGTTAATGAGGAGAATTAAATCTGATGAGGACCAGGCAGGACTTCAAAGAGACCTGGACAGACTGGACACCTGGTCCAGCAAAAAGGCTTCTCGAATTTAATCCTGCCAAATGCAAAGTCATGAAGATAGGGGAAGGGCACAGAAGACCACAGACA